TTTTTATACCCTGAACAGGCGTCAGTCTGACTGTAAATATTCCTTATACGAATGAGTCCTCCAGTTTATGACATATTGATCAAAAATTTTGCAAACGTACTTTTCTACGCAAAAAAACTGCTAATTTGTCAGAATTGCCGGTATCGGAGCACTATAGCATATAGCTGTCATATAAACTGATCGATCAAAATCACGTCCTTGTAAGGAAAACTTTTTTATTTGACCAGATATCTTCACAAAATTTGTCACAGTTTAATAACAAAATTAGGGCTACAATCTCCAAACAGATTGTTTGGATCGAACAACTATAGCATATAGCTGTCATACAAACTAATCGATCAAAATCACGTCCTTGTAAGGAAAACTTTTTTATTTGACGAGATATTTTCACAAAGTTTGGCATAAATTATTTTCCTAAGCCAAGCTACAATCTTTGAAGAAATTGTTCAGATCGGACCACTATAGTATATAGCTGTCATATAAACTGATCGATTTTTATATTCTATTATTGCACTTGTGAAGGGTATTATAGCTCCGTTGCAGCCGAAGTAAATATACTTTAGTTTTGTTGTTGTTGCTAGACGCTACACCAATTGTCAACAACTTCATGCTGTCTCACTTGAAAATCGCTCACATTAAACACGGCTTTCTCTTCGTCTACTTCTACAATTACATTTGTGACTCCGTTTCGTTCGTGGTGAGCTGAATGTGGCTGTTGCTCTTTCATTTGCCCGCTTCTTTAATGCATTTTGTCGTTAACAGGATATCAAATGACAATACGTCAACAGCAGCAGTAACAATAAAAACAACGACAAAACAAGTGCAAAAACTAAAAACAATACTAACAACATTTTTAGTAAACAAAGCATATTACGAACGATTAAGGCAAGTGTTGGTGCGCTGACGTTTAGCTGTCAAGCTGCTGTGAGTTGGTGAGTCGGTGAGTGAGTGCATGAGTGTGTGTTGGTGAGTGATTGCGTGAGTGTGCGTGCAAGTGGCTCGACGCACTGCTTGCCATTTGATGCTTCTATAACAGTTGTAATTAGTAGTTGCTGAAATTATTGCGTTTTGTGTCAGCCAGCGTTGCCGTGTTGACTTACTCTCGCTCTCCATGCATATATAGAAGAGCCAACTCGCTCGCAGATTTTTTCCCCCATAAGCATGTCTGTATGTTTGTTTGTGCGTCGGTATGCAGTCAGATAGTTGTGTGATTAACTGTTTGGCTGCTGCTTGACTTTTTCGCGTTGATTGTTCGCTAAGTTGGCTTACTTCTCTGGTGGCACTAAAAAAATTTACAAGGCTTTGTAATTGAAACTTTGCTCTTTCATTTAATACAATATCGTTGTGCTTAACATACATATACAAATGTATGTAATTAGTTTTATATACTCGTACATATACACTGAAGTATTTGCTGAGTTGCTTCGTGCAGTGCCAGAAATTTTGATTGATAAAAGGAGTTGTGGTAAAAAATAGAAATTAAAAAATTTTGCCTTGAACTAACTCGCTCTTTAACTAGATCTTTTAGGTCTTAGTTCACGACAGAGAACTTTTTGTCAATATATATATTTTATGACATAAGTAAACTATTTGTCTTAGCAGTAAGGAAACATTCCCTATCTTACTTGTATATCTGGTATCTTCTTTATAGGAAAATGCATATTTTTTATGGCAATAATCTGAACTTAAAGAACCAAGTGTTCCCAATTAGACATATAATATATCTACCTCCAAAAGGTTAGAAAAAATCAAATTGAAAGTCAACCTAGAAACTTTTTCTTCGTTTGATTTGAGAATCGTGCTGAATATAAGTTTGAGAACTGTATGATTATTGCTAGATAACCACATAGACTCAACTCAAATTAAGACCACACATATTTATATCGCACCTTCCTCCATTTGTTCGGTAAAATGTTGCTATTGTGAAGGTAATTTCGTAATGCCATTCTCATAGAAATCCTCGTCACTCTTGGCAAAAAACTGAGACAGTCGATTTTCACAAGCTTCTCTTGAAACGAATTTTTCACTAGCAAAATCATCCGTCACAGAGAAAAACACGTAGTAATCACTTGGTGCCTGGTCTGGACTATAAGTTGGATGCATAAGAGTTAACCAAGCTCCCGCGGCTTCTGACACTTTCGATGTGTATGGCCTGGATTTGTCCTGATGGAACAGAATTCCTCTTCTATTAGCCAAAGCTGGCAAATTGTTGACGATAGAGGTCCAAATTTGGAGTTTAGAGGAGTTCATAATAGTTGATTCTCTGCCAGTCCCACCAACTACATAGCAATACCTTCCAGACTATCAATTCTGGCTAGACTACCATTTGTATCGGCTTACCGCGATTCGTTCACGACCATTTTTGCTTGACGTTGTCGTAAGTGAACCACTTTTTCTCAGCAGAAACCATACGCTTCAAAAATGGATAAATTTTGTTGCGATTCAGCAGCGATGTGTTCGAAAATTGGCATTCCAGAGTGTAGTGGTGTATATACCAACCAAATTACCAGAATGGTATCCTCGAAAGCGAAATCGCACGTAATTAGCTATTATAGTGTGTGTACCTTAAACTTTATATATTTATATTTTATACAGCTTGAATCGGTACATTCCAGTTAGCAAAGATTTATTTGAAACTTTAACATTATTTTCCGTGTACGCTCTTCACATAATATCACTTGCTATTGTTTTTGCATGCCTTTTACCAGCTCTCAACAGTTGCACACGTTGTTGCGGTATTATTTCAGCTCGTTTTTAGAAGTTTCAATTGCACGTCAATTGGAATGAGAAATATGTGCGTGTGTGGGCACGAGTAAAATGTTAAACTAGCAACAATAACAACAAAACAAAAGTAATTCACAACAAAACAGGGATAAGCAGTAAGCTGCTAAAGGCAGTGACATTGTGTAAATTAAAGCATTAAATGTAATAAAATGATGGAAGGGCAACAAAAAGCGAACGGTAATTTAATACAAGTATGAATAGTCGTTTTAAATGTAGCTGAGTGCATGCACTCGTACTTGTATTTATATGGACTCGGTTACTTGTGTATTTCAGCTTTGTGTTTGTTGGTAGCAAATGCGAGGGTTGTTGAAAAAATTTATATTTTTTGAGGAGTTAATAATTTAATGAGGGTTAACGAACGTCACTTTTGCATAATCGCTTAGGGGGATAAACTGGAATATAAGTAATAATTAACAAGCGAATTTTTATTTGTGAAATTAGGCTTATGAGGCTGGTTTATAGTTTTTTAATTTTAAAAATTGTTTTTGTATATTTTGTATATTTTGATGGATTTCATTGAGAGTTTTAAAACAGTGTTAAATTAGAAAAAAAAAAAATTTATATAGAATTATAATACAATATTATTACAATTTGCTTATACTTTTCAAAACTGATCTCGTTGAATTATTTAAAGAGAACTTTTTATTTCGATAAAATCACTTATGTAAATATATAAATAATTTTAGTATACTTTATTTAAGAGCAAATATGGATTGAAAAAATAGAAAAAAACTATTTTGTCAAAATTCAAAAATTTATATCTTTGAAACAAATAAGAACACCCCCTTAAAAGAATTCTTTGAAATCTCTTCAGATATGTTAGGGGTATAATACAAAAAAATTTGAGGCCAAAATTTTCTCGCGATGTTTACTTCTGACGATTTTGAAAAATTCAAAATTTTTGAATTTTGATAAATTTCCAAACTTAAAAAAAGTTTTTCCACAATTAAAAAAAAAATTTTTTTCATACCTCTAAGCGTCCTCTGAAAACGCACCAGCGTTCTTTATTTAATATACAGTAGTTTCTGCAATATTAATTAAATAAACGCTTAAAATCGGAAAAACAGTGAAGTTTTCAATTTGCATAGCTCTTAGGAAAAATGTTTTCCTTTGGCAGAATTTTGTTTTATGATAAGACAAAACTTTCCACTAAAATTCATTCGAATTGGTGAGGGTCGCGTCCAACTATTTGTCAATTTGACGTGGAATGACCCATATGGTTTTGAATATGGTTGCCAACTGCTACAAATTTCCATTTATAGTAAGCAAAATTTAAAGAGTTGCGCTCAAAGTTAGTTAAGAAGTGTCTGATCTCACTATGCCAATCCACCCTTGTATAAATAGTTATTATAAGTGTACTGTGCGTATTTATTACATATCTACATACTCGTACATATACACACAGTATTAATTTATTTCGCATTTCATTGTATTGTTCATAGTATGTGTGTACTCGACTTGAGCGATTTAACGCAGCTTAGTTATGTACACATACATTAGGGTGAGACTTTTACTTTGAAATACTGTTTGATACTTTTAGCTTTGAAATTTTCAAACTTTTCATAGTTTTCAAATATACAAAATTGAAAATTTTTTAGGAATATTTTATGCTCTAGAAGCATCTGCAATTTAAAAAATCAATTCTAAATGGTTCAAAAGTTGTTGAAAGTAAAAGAAATTTTTTTGAAAGTAAAAGAAATTAAATTTAGTAGGATGAAACCCATTGTAAAAGAAAGATAAAATAATAAAAGTTAAAGAAAAAATAGTTTACGGGCGATATGAGGTTGGCAAGAGAAAGGCGACAGTAAAAAGTTCTACAACTTTTGCATTGACAACTTTTTCTCATAACCTCAAAATATATGTGAAAAATTCAAATCGCCAAATTTTTTGTTTTTTAGTTATCTTTTACATTTTTTATACCCTGAACAAAGTATATTAAGTTTGCAACGAAGTTTTGAACACCCAGAAGAAAACGTAGTATACATTATAAAACATATATCAGCATGACGAGCTGAGTCGATTAAGTCAGTGTTATTTTATTTATATAATATCTTAATTTTAGTTTGTTTTGGCTCACCCTAACATACATATATCCATATGTAGATGTATGTATGTGTATATTAACACTTTACTTTACTTTTATATAAAAAATATTTAAACCATTACCTTTTTGCGTTTTTTTTACACACACTCTTTTCCGTTTGTTATTTTTGCAGCGTATTAACGTGGCTTAAATCATTGTAAGCGGCTATAGACGGCTATGCGCCAGCGCCGTGCGCCACGATATAGCCTTGTGTGTGGCTGGAAAATCGTTAAACGTACATCAAATGAATTTTAAATGTTAAAACAATCGCTTTTAATCTAAAATAAAGTGCGAGGATAAGGTGTGAATGCAAAGTGAAAAATAATAAACGAAAAAAAAGACAATATATAACGGTATATAAATATACGAATCCATGAGTGCGATTGCGAATGACAAATAAAACGCAATAAAATTATAAATAAAAAAATTAAATTAAATAAAATTACAAAAATAAAAGTGTATGAAAATACGCAATTGCATAGAAAGTGTGTGGAAAATCAAAATCAAACAAAAAAGGAAAATAAAAACAAACGACATTCTGCGCTTAATCCCCTTCGTAGCAACAAAATCCATGCCTATCATTTCACGAGAATTAACACATTAGAGACGAATGCCAGTCGCATAGGCGCTTACAGCGAAGGTGTTTGTGTCTTCAGCGCAGGATAACGATGAGTGTGTAAGCGCACACACGCTCATATAGCAAGGTAGACACACACTTTGCGTTATATAAATTTATAGCATAGACAGACGCGCCTTCGATTTGGTGAGCGGAAATTGCTCGCTTGTCACAAGGTAAGTAGTAAGTAGGTTAAATAGAATTTATGCATGCGCCCAATGCGGCTTAACTGCGCGCTTTAACAACAACATACAAATAAACACGCACACTCACACATATTTAACAGCGAAAACCACTTGAAGCTATATACATATATATACCTATTTAGCCGGAAGACAATGGCATATTGCGGTGGCTGCCCTTAAATGATTTTCTTTTGCCCTCAAATCTACAATTTGCTGGCAGTTTTCTTTTCTTTTTTGTTTTGTATTTGTTGTGATTCGTGCTTTTAATAGCGTTTGACTGCCTACAGTTGTCGCCTTCGTGCTGTCTGCAGGCATTCTCTACTTTAGCTTTGCTGTAATTTGTATGCCTTCGCCTTGTCAAGCTCGCAGCTCACCTAAGTCCTATGCTGGCAAGCAGATTAGTCGCTATTTTTTTTATTTATCCAAACACCCACCTTCACGTCTCTGCTTTCTTCACATATCATGCAGTCTTATTTTCTAAGTATCTTAACTCATTTAGTGTATGCTTTGCTTTGCTATTTTTATCAGACTTTGTGACTACCAAATTAATGTCTGCTGCAGTTTTGTTTTGGTGGCTGTCTATAACACAACAGAAAAAAATTTAAGAATAAGCAAAGAAATACAAAATTAGCAAAAAAATAATGAAAAAAAAATACAAATACAAATAAATTATATAAAAAAATGCAGACATCTGTACTTATTAGTTACTTGGTGGTTGGCTTAGATTTCAAGTTTCGTCTGTAATTCTATTCTCCTTCTCTTTCTGCTCTCTGCTTAATACTGCTGCCTGCCTTTGATGTTGAATTTTGGTAATTGTTTTGTAGGGCTTCCAAAAACTAAGTAATTTGACTGCAAAAAGAAAAAGCTGAGACAGAAGGGAGAAAAATAACCACTGTATATTGAAAAGTAATTAATTTAGTTATTATCTGTCTTAAGCTGTATCACCAGGGTTGCGTCTAAACGCTTTAAGGCTTTGAAAGAAAAAATATTTAAAATGAAGCAGATTTAGTTTCATGATATTTTGGTCCGCTGCCTATTTTCAGCGGCAATCGTATGTCCACAATGCGATTCACAAACGCTGTATCCGACCACTGCCTTGTACCGCGCTTTTACTTTCAGCTCTTTCTTGGTTGGGTTCTTCCCCTGCCCTCTCTTTTTGCTAAAGCTGGCACCCTCGGCAGCTATTCAAGAGAGCGAAGAAGTTCTTCTTGTTCCGCGTTTATACTCACTGCGCTTTCTTGGTCCCAGTCTTCATGGACTGCGCCCGTTGCATTAGAGCTGCGTCCGCTGGCGAAACCTCCGACGTTTAGTCTGGTATCCTAGCCCGCTTCTCTTTTCGTTGGCTTCCATATTGAGTTTTGGATTCGGTGGACTCTACCCCTAGCGTTTTATATCTACCGCCAGTTACCTCATTAGCAGTGGCTGTTGAATTCTCCCATTCACATCGTTCTGAGGTTGGATATAAGGCAGTCCACCAAACGCTAATAAATGGAGAAATATGCCAGCATTTGCTGTATGACGCCTGCGTGCAGTGTCCTGATTCAGCCAGCTAAGAGACCCAGCTATCTAGAATTTTCTTCGATTGAAATTGAAGACCCATAAAATGATTGTAATTTAGGGCCCTTGAATAAGTTTGCATGCAAAAACTTTTTGGCTTTCAAGTAGTAGTGATTATTTTAATAAAAATAAATAAATAACTGACTGTATTAACTCTTAGGAAATAGGCATTTTAAACCCTTGCTAATTACTGAATCGATTTCCAGCTTTAATGAAATCTTTTGTATATACATAAATAAACCATTGGCAACTCCGGAAAAGTAGAAGAGGAAAAGTAAATCTTAATACTTAACGCCTTCAAATATACATGCATTTAATAGCGCCACAAGCACTGCTATCTAAATGTAATAAACATCAACTAATTACAGTTATGTTAAGCCACAAATTTTGGTTGCCACACACATACATAAAGCTTGACACAATTTACAACAATTTTCATTTCACTTTTCAGCAACAACAAATTTTATATGCTGATTTAAAAGCTCATATATGAAATATAAATTAATATATAATATTTCAGACATTTTATCATGCACCGCAAAGGTCACTTTAGCCAAACCTAAAACGTGCGCTTAATCTAATTACACTATCTCTACTCGTAAAATGAGATTTACGACGTGCAAGTGTTATCTAAATAGTTATTAAAAAGCGCACAGACATACACATTTTGCCACATACAATATTTCCACATAAATATGCTATTTTTGTTTTTGTTACATTTATTTTTTTGGTTGAGAATTTAATTTAAATTTGAATTTATAACTCCCTATGGGCTATTAAAAAGTTAGCATAAGCTAAACAATAAGAAAGCGCACCGATAACAATTTGGCTCCCTCCCAACATACCAACATAAAAAACACAATGTGCGGCGAGAAAATATGGCGGGAAATTGTATCGTTCTGCTATTTTGTTGGTTTACATTTATACTTTGTTGTTCTTTTCGTTTGTCTTCGTCGTAATGCGTGTGGAGGGTAATTCATAATTTCAATTGGCTTATTGTTATTTTCAAACGGCTTATGAGATTAGAAAGCGCACCATAAGCATTTCAAGAAACTACGTAAAAGCTCATTGGCGGTGTACGCAAAATTACACTGTCGAGCATTCGTATAATAAATAGTTGAATCGTTGGCGAAATTTAAATTTACATGATGTGGTGGAGAAGCATACATGCGGGCGCGTATGTAATTTATTATTTATATGTAAAGGGTGTTTATGTTAAATATTTTATTCTTGGATAAGATCAACTTGGAGTATTGGTTATTTTGCAAATATTTATTATGATGAACGAGATCTAGCGAGAACTGGTGGGACCTTTGGAGAGCGGGTAAGAGTATGGCAATGTAGGGCAGAGCAACTCAGAGCAAAATAGAGCATGTAAAGGTCGGTGAGAGCTCTGGTGAGAAATGCGGTGTGCGGGTGGTAGCCACTGAGAGTCGGGGAGATCCTTAGAGAACGGAGAGCGGATGAGAAGCAGAGTGAGCCGGTAAAAGTCGGTGCGAACTCTGGAGATTTCTCTACGCTGAGGTGATCGTAACTAGTGAGAGCCGCTGAGAGTCAGAGAGAGTTTTAGAGAGACAGTAAAATATATAAAACCGATGAAAATCTGAGAGAACGCACTTTGAGTTGGCTTTAATGACCATACGGACATTTTATGGATCATCTTGATGATCGTGAGAGATTCTAACATCACTTGCAACATTTTGACTGCAACATGAAAAATATAAATGAATACCTCTAAAAGAAACACCCACTATAAAATGACCAGCAAGTAAGGAAACTCATTTCGGAATAAACATACGCCATTCCTGATAAGCATATTTGAGTGCGCGCACAAATAGACGAGTACTCCACGGAATGAGTCTTGGGTACTACTGGTAAGGAAACAGAAAATGCAATTTCTACCGAACAACGTACTCGTTGCGCTTCGATGTTACAGCAACTACAAGACGAAAATATAATATGCGTGCAAAAGTGGATTCGAGAGCCAAGTCGAAAGATATGACTGTAGCGCTCATTGTCGCAGTTGTTGGGTAACTGTTGGATAACTGTTGTTGGTCGCGGTGGTTGTGGCGTCCGTGATGACCACTTACGTTTTCGCGCATCCACTAGCAAAGCAGCGTTGGAGTCACAGCATTGGTCTCCCGGTAGCAAGTACGCACACGAACGAAGATCAATGCGATGCACAGGTACTGCACACTGAGTGTTATATATCTACCTATAGGCAAAGTGGCGTGGCACTCCACCTAAGTGAAATATTGCGCTGTTCCACATACACAGAGTCTACACACATGTGCCTGATAACATATACGCATATGTTTGTATGTATATGAGTTGGTAAATGGTGTTCCTTGCCTACTTGTCGTAAGGTTAAATAAAATACTTTCGTAATAAAAATAAAAATTTAATTTACTTCCATGAGAGCGTGGCGTAAAAGGTTGCGTGAAGGTGTGCCACCAAAGTGCTGGTTTGGGGTGGCGCAATGCAGTCGCCCTGTACTAGTATATGCCTTACAAGCGCTTGAATTGCTGGCACTCTGGGTAAACACGATGGATACGGATGTGCTTCGCTTAACGTTAAAGCTGTGAACATAAATTGAAAAAGAGAACTCAAGCACATACACATTCCAATTAGTTGTGCGCATAGTGGGACGAAATGTAGGAAAATTAACAATACAATTGTTAGACTTTTTGTTCACTTTTAAGCGTGTGTATGTTCTATTTAGTAATTCTGGTAGAAAATTTACTAATCTGTCTGTATATACGCGAGGGACTAGGCCTCATCGAAACACTGTAGCTTATATGTAGCTGACATAAATAAAAAATATTAAATAAAAAATAATAATTTTCCGTTTTCTAAAATATTTTATTTGCCAACGCTCTATTTTTTTTAAAGAAGCCTGCTTTATTTAAAGTTAAAAAATGTTCAAGTTTAACTTTTTTAAATCGATTAAATTTTTAAAATAAAAGTAATACTTTTTCGGTTTTTTTCTACCAACTCTGTTCAGAAACTTACTTTATTTAAGCGAATGGGTTGAATTTTTTTTGCGTCTAAGATTTTTTTTCTCGCTATCTTAATGTTAAATGTATTCTACAATATGAGTTATGAAATTGTCACAGTGCTTCACTGTATGCTCCACCTGCACACCCACGCTGAACAGCTCATGCATACATGCATGCGCAAAGCAACTGCGGATGCGTAGATATCTACTGTATTTCCCACTACTTACCCACACATATGCTTCAACAGCTACACTGAACGTTGTGATAACATAAGCGCGCACACAATGGCTACTCATACGCCCCCGACCAGCATGTGAAGCAGCAGAACACACCATGTGCGTAGGTATGTATGTTTGTATATGTGTCTGCTTCGGCTTCGCCTTTGAAATGAGCGCCTTTTGCCTTTTACCCTCCACCATTTTTAAATTCACAAAT